CGCTTCACACCCCACCCCCACCCCCACCATTGGTTCCGTTTCTCCAGAGATCCCTAATATAATAGCAGACAGGAAATTTCTGCTCCCGATCTTTAAAGACAGATAAATCCTATCCTTCAGGATATGGAGGCTGTTGGTGCCTGTTTTCTAACAGCTGTCCTGAGGTTCCAGGAAAATAAAACATGGCTCTGAAGCTGAATGGCTAGTACCTTTTACTACATCATTTTTGTTGTTGATTTACTCCTAGGAGTAAATCTGGGCACATGCCCAGTCAAGACATAGGAAGGAGGGGCTGTTGACACCACACTAGTCATGAACTATGACTACCTTGGAAGAATGTATAAACCAGGAAGGTATCCAGGGTGTCTTGCTCTGGGAATCCTCCTCAGAATATAGAGATATACGCAGGAAGTTGATACTCCAGGTCCTCTTTATTAACATCCAAAAAATGTTGATTTTTCTTTGTTTTCTAGCCTTTATTTTTATTTTTGTCTTGTAAGTGCTTTGTGTTGTGGAGCGAAGTTAGGGAGGATTGAAGTAAGTTTATAAAACTTGGGGCTGATTTAGAGGCCATGTGTGCAGTGCTCTACAATAGTTTGCTAAATGGATAAATTCTCACTGAGGTTTATTGAAGACTCTTCTGCCTGCAAATTAGCTGGGTGATGGGGCAAGCCACTTATGTAGTTCCTCTGGCATATTTTTCCACCTGTGAAATGAGTGTGACGGTATGGCAGACAGGGCAGACTGCAATGCTGAGGCTGCTGCCATTGCTAAAATCTGATTTTAGAAAGAGGATCAGAGAAATTTTTCTACCAAATGGCTTTGCCCAGCTTGGGTCCTGATACTTGACAACAACATCTCAGGGACCTGAGACCAAAGCAACCTGTTCTTTAAAGTGACTAGAAATGCACACTGCTCAGAATGGGTGGAAGTTAAAGTCTTTTACACAGTCACGCACAGACATGCAAACACACAAATTACTCTTCCAAATTTTAGTTCATGTTGGTATTGTGCAGTGAAATGTTTTTTGTTTGTTTGTTTGTTTTTTATCTTTAAATATAGAGAATCTGAAGACTGAGAGTCAAGCTGTCAAATACTTAACATTTGCACCAGGCTGACATAAAACTGGAACTATTCCCTAAATTTAAAGCTTTGTATTCTAAAAAGTCACTATTCTAATTGCCTTTAATAGAAAAATATAAGTATAATTAAAATATAAATTCTGGGGGAAACTTGGGGACAAAAAGTTTCAGTTGCTTATAAAGTTTGAAAACCAATGTTATAAGGAAAGGCAATGTTGCTTGATCTCCCAAGATCAGATGGTGGTAGTTCTGACCCTGATAAAGAGTGTACCTAAAAACGGGCTATCCTCCCTAGCTCACCTGGGCAGGTGTGGCTATGGGCAAGTGTGGGGGAAGGATCCCAAGGACTGAGTCAAATAAACTGTCAATTCCAGAAGCTGGGAGAAATTAAGGGCCTTACTGGCAGAGTGCTTCTTTAAGTGCAAAATGCTTACAGAAAATCGAATCATCATATTGTGAGAAATGGATTCCCATTAGCATCTTAAATCCTTTTGATTACATCAAGGATACAGGGACTTTTGCTTCTGTCCATAAAGAATTAAGTGCTGTGGGAATTGACCTCCTTCTATAGTAAACAATTAGAAAAATGGACATAGTAAATGAAACAATAGTTTTCAGACATTAGACAACAGGAAGCACAGGATTTTGACCCCCAAAAGAAGGGAAACGGTAAGGTCTACCACAGTCGCCCCGCTTTCCTGCCAGGAGGAGGTATCCAGGACAACATTCAGGAGTCAAATAGACTCCATGAGTAGAAGACAGAGCAAAGTTCAGACAGGCCAAGATGGCTAGAATTTGTGAGGCAGAGTGCTGGACAAGAGGGAGCTGCATAAGGAGAGAGCCACAGAGATCCGCAGAGGGATCCTCTTAAGTCTCGGTTAGAATACTAATCTGCACACACATGAGAGGGAACTCCTCAAGGCCAAAAAAGAATCACCTGCAGTTCAGACAGGGCTGTGAATAATTTCTACTGGTCAGAGTGGAAATACCTCACAGTATGCAGGCATTAGGAAGAATTCTCAAAATAATGCCTTAATAGTGGAGCAAAATTAGCCCTAAACTTAAGGCTGCGTCAGACCCGCCTTAAGTTACTTGAGAAATAAGATCCATTTATAATTAGGAGGATAGACAAATCAATAGAAACAACCCCAGGAATGTCAAAGATGATGGAATACTATAGTAGACAAAGATATTAAACTACTACTATGTCTTAAAATATGTTCAATCAAGTATATGAACCAGGGGGCCAAGTACAGCCTGTGGGCCAAATTTGGCCCATCTGTGTTTGTAAATAAAGCTTTATTGGAACACAGCCAGACTCAGTCATTTATGTACTGCCTATTGTTGCTTCCACTCTACAATGGCAGAGTTGAGTAGTTGTGACAAAGACTGCAAAGGGCTACAAAGCCTAAAATATTTATTATCTGGCTTTTCACACCAAAAATTTGCTGACTCCTGAGGTAAAGGAAAACAGGAACGCAGAGGGAAATGGGAGATATAATAAAAGACTCAAAATTTCTACGGATGGGACAGAATATTTGCAAAGTATACTGGATAGAATTAATATGAAGATGAATCTAACCTAATGTCTGTTTCCAAAGAAGCTTATCATCTGGTAGGTGAAGACGGACTTCTTAGACAGTAAATGGGTGTGAAGAAGGGTAGTGTGGCTGGGATAAATAAAACAGCAGCCTGCAATTCCTTGCCGAAGGGCCGATAGTGCCTTGCCTGGTTCCAAAGTGGGAGGGCAGGAGGATGGAGTTGGTATTACTCCCTATCTCAGTGGCATGGCTGATGACGGAAGTCCTGGTCTCAGCTCGGTTGCTACTTTTTGATGGTACAGGCTCTAGTTGCTCAAGCCCATGCCATTATAATCAGTTATACACTTTGCTGATTTGGGGCAACAGTTCTGAGATAAGCCACTCAAAAAATATTTTTGAAGGGTCATTACTGATTGAAACCACAAATCACCAGTATAAGTGTCTAATTTCAAGCCACTTCCCTAAATAGGATAAGAGGTATTTTTTTGCTAATGTTTGTGTAATACTTTTGGACTACTATACTCACTTCTTTGTAAAACATCTGTTCTATAGCCTGACAATACATCTGGCAATTAATACACGAGACAGCTATTAATGAATCTCAGATTTTAATAGGACATTGGAAAACTTTGTGAAAAGTCGAATTTTTTTTTTCCTATTAGGAAACAAAATGGCTGTAAGAAAAAATAAAATCAGATGCAGAAATCCAACTTTTTCATATATAGTAAGACTCCATTTGTTCCATAGGCAATTACACTTATTTAGAATCGCAACATCTTGTACATACAAACATTCAGCAATTTTATTTTTCCTGGTTTACTTCCATCTTGTGCTCTCATTAGTGACATCATTACTATATGTAAATGGCCCAAATGATGAGGCTAAAATGATCTATGTGGCTATGAGAGAACTACTCCTTTCACAAATTTCCATCTTCATATCCTCTTAGTTTGTCAATAAATTCTGATGCAAAAGTTTTTTTGGCAAGGCAATTATTTATTAGTCATGCAAGTAGAGACAGAAGGAGTTAGGAAAAGCACTAATTCTGTCAATTTACTGCAGCAAAAAATAAAAAGCATCACATTTCCTTTATCAATAGACTTTTAGTAATGTGACCTAAAAGGATAATGTGTAAAGACACACAACAATTATGTATTTTCAAAATGTGCATTTAATGGCCAGTCCATCAAAATCAAGCAGGATCACATTTCAAAAGTATTATGTGTATATGTATATATATATTCTTTTAAGGTGCATGTTCAAGTTTTATTGGGATTTATTTCTTCATGGCTGCCTAAGGTGTTCTTGCAGATACAATTAACATAGACTGTTCTGAGGTGGACAGCTTCTCATGCATTGAAAGATAAGATCCTAACAATACAACATATCTTGGATACATTAGAAATTTGAAAAGCTATGTGTAATTTCAGAAAACTTAATAATACTAGTCATGAAAGACATTTCCAACATAAAATTTAGGCACTCTATACTTTGGAATAGCCACAAAATATTCCAACAAGAGTTAATGCACTTTGTGATTACATCTACTCACAGAGAATTCTCAATTAAAATCTATACTTATTAAATAATATTTTAAATTAGAGCCCATTATCTTTCGATAATTACTGTGAATCACTTGCAGCATTGTGTTTTAGTTAAATAATGTCAACTACTTCCATTAATGATCCTGCTGCTTATCCTTCATTTTTTATGGAAGAACCTAAAAGCCGTCACTGATACGCATTCCCCCTCACCCACCCTCTTCCCCTGCTAATGCCTGAATAAAATGTCCCTAACTAATCTTTAAAGGTATTCTTGTATTTTCTGCTGTAGTTGCTTTGTCAGCATGCAAAACTACAGTAAATGGGAGGCAACCTGGAGACCAGGAAACATCAGCCAAGAAGCCATTGTAATTCCTAGGCTCAGCTCATTTGCTCAGTCACTTTGTGGCTAAGTACACTGCTTCATCTATGTTGCTACAGTCTGTGCTGCTAGAATGACCAGTATGGAGCCAAGAGGAAGGATACTCAAACTTGTTACTTCATGCTCCACAAGGCCAAGGCCGCCCAGACCTCATCTGGCTTAAGGCAAAACTTGCTGGTCACTGCAGTGTGGTTCTGGAGTTTCCATCTCCTTGTCTGAAGACTGAGGGGTGGGAATAATGGCCGCCTACTGAGATGCCATTAATTCCAGATGAACTTCTTGGACTTGAACATAATTTAGCATTGTCAGAATTCACAACATGGATGCTAATTATTCCTGTTGAGAATAAGGTGCTTTTGCTCAGTGGTATGCATTTATGTAGCTAAAAAAAAACAATTAAAAGGCCTTTCAGAATTTTTAGATTACAGCCTGCAAATTGACTCATCATAATCACCAATGACTAATGTATAAAGATCTATCCAGAGAAATGAATTTGAGACATATTTGACTGTAAGCTGTACAGAAGAGAGCACAGTAATTTCCCATAGGAGAATTTGGTATTTCATCATGGGGATCACTGGTAAATTAATTACACTGCTAATGTTTTCTGGCGCACTTGAAGAGACAATTAGCATAACTAAATCATGAGTGAGATGACAAGTTGCTTAACATTTGTTTCTGTTCATCAGATGAAATCTGAGGCTACTGTTAAGCTTCCATATCAGTAGGGAGAGAAGGGAATAAGGAATGAGTAGTTGCTAACTCCAGTTTCAGCAAATATAATCAGAACCAGTCATAACTAGCTGATAAACATCGATGCTAAATGCAAAGCAGATAAGACTCATTCGAGTTTTAGAAATTAACTTTACCAAGAGCTGACAGATGCTGGGAAACATTAGAGAGGTGACAACTGATTCAGGAAATTCACGTGAAACCTCAGCCATTTCTCCTGAGCAGAAAGGATGAGATGGTAAGAATAAAGGTGGATTTTAGTTGAGGTTGCTTTGCATCCTCTCTCAGAACTTCATCTTTCTATGGATATTCTACAACATCTATCTTGTGATCAGGACCCAAGGCTCACGACAGCACAGTTAAGGTTACAGTCCCTCTCTGGCGTTTGAGAATGGCCACAGCTTGCTCATGAGTAACACCTTCTAGCGTCTCGCCATTAACAGCTAAAATTTGATCACCTCGCTTCAATCGGCCGTCATCTGCAGCTGCTCCCTACAAACAAGAAACATTCCAGTTTAATCCAGGGTGCAATTAACATTCCGATAATATTAATATTATGGTATGCATATTCAAAGAGTAACTTTAAAAACTGCCAATTAAAGTCATTTCTAGGTAATGCTTTTAAGAAAATTAACAAAATGCATGATATGTTATTTGAATAATGGTTGACTAGTAACCATAATTATGCATTGTTTAAATAACATACTAGTAGAAATGTACTGACATTCATATTTCTTTTAACACAAGTAGGACCTTATTTCAAAATTAAGTGCTAAATGGAATTCGAATGTCATATCATGTCGTATTCATGAATATGTAATACACAAATAAAGGCAGAACCAAATCTGGTGATAGTCTTATTGTCAATACCACCGCCACATAGGGTTCCCTGTTGCATTATTAAGCTATCAGCATTGTGGGGATCTGTCAAAAATAAGTGTAGCCTCTAAATGGGTGAATTGTATGGTATGTGAATTATAGCTCAATAAAGCTGTTCTATATGTAAATACACAAAAGTGTAACATCTCTAAAATACTGCAATATTATATTCAAAAGCTTCGACTTTATTTATCTTTGATATCTAAATAGGTTTCTAAATGACTACTTTCATTACATACCCAGTCATGCATGGCTCCTCAAAATGGCACAAAGCAAGTGAAACTTGGCTTTTTTCATACTAACACTGAGTATCTAAAAATTCCATGTTTCTAGAAATATTTTGAATGGGTAAGGAAAGAAAAGACTTAGAAAACAATTTATAGGAGGCTTTCTCCATCTGCCTGGGTAACTGTGAAAATTCCTTGAAAAGTTAGTGCTTTGAGTCTTCTAAATGATATCAAATTACTGGGGAAATTAATTGAGGCCCACAGGCACCTAGACCCTGACTGTCGCATTCAGAAGCTGAGCTAAGAAGCACTGATGTGTGCTTGCTACGGGAGCACATATACTAAAATTGGAAGAAGCACTAATGCTCCAGAGACCTATGTCCACCTATGGCAAGGAGGTCCTGAGGTGGTGGGTGAATTATCTAGAATCTCAAAACTGTGAAAAGGGTGGAATTCCTGTATAAAAGTGTGATAAAGAATATTCAAAACCAGGTCTATACTGGTGGAGGGTAGGTGGGGGGGAAATATAAAAATTAAGTTGCAACTTCATTCAAATCTTTTTTTTTTCTTTTAAGAAAGTATGCTAACTGCACTAAAGACAGGAATAAACAACTCTAATAAGTACAATCAGAAGTACTTGGCTAACTTGACTTTATTAAATTTTATATGCTAAGATTTAAGGGCTTCAGTAAACCTCAGATATCTGCGTAATTTGTTTTTTTAGAAGGCATGTTAAGCCCTTCAAGTTTTCATTTTCAGTAATACAAAAAAAGATTTTTCAACTTTATAGGATTTGTACACTATTTCAGGTTTTGTCGTACTTACTTGATAATTACCACTGATCTGTATCTCCTCTCCTACATTATCAATGTGGCATTTATGGACTAAGCAGAGAAGGAAGAAACTGGTTCACAGACAGGCCTCCGTCTGGTTCAGAAATGTGGCTTTTACCCACTTGATGTATCTCAACTTGGTCACTTAGCCTTCCCTGTGCTGTTAAATAGGTATCTATTAATTTATCTTTCACCTGTTCTAAGGATTACATGGTATTTACTCAATAATGGTGATAGCAAAACAAAATGATACTCTGGTGATGGTCAAACTTATGCTTTCATATTTCATAGGCTCTGAAAAACTGCTCCCTAAATTTCCAGGGCTGTTGAAGTCTTTAGGCCTAACTTTTGTTGGTTTATGGTAAAATTCAGCTGCTGAGAGGATTGAAGTTGGCTTTGATTTTGAAGTTTCCAACCAAACAACTGAAAGAAAATGGATGGTCCTGACAGCCTCTTTATCAGATTGACTAAGTCTCACAAATCTTATACACCCAAAGTGCCTGTGATGCTTCATATTCCTAGAGGGGGAAAAAGGACCTTGATGGGCCAAATTAATTTCTTAGTTGAGCAAGAGAATTATTAAACGAGGCTTAGGACACCAAAAAAGTCACATAAAAACCCACACCCTGTGGATATCTAAGATCCAGAAACCTGAAAAGACTAACATTTTAAAGAATATATGTTCAGTATTAAAAAACCATGGAAAGCATGTAGCTATAGTTTCTAGATCTTCAAAATTTCTATGGGGAAATGTTTAGCTTAGTGTCAGATTTGTTGTAGAAAGACTTTACTATTAAAAAAAACAAACTCCTTTGCTAGTTCTTGGTTTATTGATTCTTTTCAGAAAACTTTTAAATTTAGATATATTGGTTCACTCTAACAAATAAAAAAAGAAAGAAAAAGTCATCAAATGAAATATTATAGTGAACTCCTCTATGGAACTAACTAAATAGTGGTAACTATTTGCATTGGAATATTCTTTTATTGGGGTTGAATGAACTAAGTAGGCTATTAGCTAGGCCTTTAGAACTTTTTCTTTTTTATAATTCAGAGCTTTTCATTTTCAGGTTTGCTTCACTTTACATAAAAGGTCTATTCCTTAAAAATTAAAACATACCAAAGATATTCGATATTTACCAGTACATTACTACTTACATAAGTGCTTACTAAATGACCACTTTCGATGGGGACCTTTGAAAAGAGCATTTTGTGTGAGCGTTAGTCCACTCATTATTCCCACTACTGTTGTCCCACTGTGATTTGATGGTGGTTTCTTTAAAAAAACAAAAACAAAAACAACCCACCAGCAATGCATGGCCATTTCACTTTCAGCTGTATGTTCTGGTGACCTGACAAAAGGTGCCTGGCTCTGGCCCCACCAGTCTATGTGCATGTGTGGACAGGCGCAGTTGGTATAGACTGCTGAACTCTGGGCCTCAGGTCAAAAAGCCTTAGAAGCTGACCATTCCTCTCTTTGGACCACAGCTGATTTACTTACAGTTAGGAAGTGAGCTGGTGATTACAACATTCTGGAGGGGCTTTACGGAGGCACAGGCACAACTTGCTAAAAGGTGGAGGCTAACTTTGCAGTCTTTCCACTATCCTTACCTACATAGCTGGCTCTTTAAAAAACAATTATAATAATGCCCTAAAAGAATAATCATCACAAGTACTTATAATGCTGTTTTAGGAAAAGGAGGGTCTGTAGGTGGCTTATCTACTTTGGAAGTGATCAGACTGGGGCAGTATTGTTATTCAGAATGTTTCTAATCTGCCTCCTCACTCCTGTTTTGTTTGTCACCAGGTCAGCAGATGTGTGTTTGGGAATAACATGCTTTCTTAGTAGGCATCTTAGATACGTGGAAAAAGGTGGGTACATCTGCAGGTGCCTAACGTGTCTCGAAAGCAAATGCCTAATGACTTAAGGCTTAGGTCTGGCCATGGTTAGGCTCAATTAACAGGTGATAAGATCTGCACAGGTAAAAGTGGACTTATATTTAAAGTATAGTATAGCCTTCTAGAAAGAGAAGGTATCTATCTTATTTCTTCTTTTGAAGATCTTTGTTTCTTTAGGAAAATAAAGCTAAAGGCAATCGAATCAATTAATAAACAAATGACTGTGATAAAACCAATGAGAATAAAATTGTAATATTAATACTAAATATTTTCAGAGATCTTCAAAACTTTATAATAAAATTAAACTCCGACTTTAAAAATCCCAATGAAGTTAAAAGTAACTTATCTAAGAGCAATCTACAGGCATGCACACCATGACCTATGTATTAAGTAGGATGCATTGGAATACTTAATTCCTGAAAAACACTATTATCTAATCTTAGTCTCATTTATCTGGCCGATCCTGCAGAGCATTGTAGGAGAAAAATCACCTTAAACTAAAGCATCCTGATGGGCAGCCGTTAAGGCAGCACTGATCTCAAGCTTGTACAAAGCTTTATGCCATGTTGGCCCTCTGGTGTGTTATCTTCTTTTAAAAGAGAAAGCCAAATCATCTATCCCAAAGCAATATTTGCAAGGGCAGCCTGCACAGAGTGTGGCAGTGCTCCTTATATTGTGCTAGTGAAAGAAGATACTCTTTAAAATCTGTTAGCAGCTACTTTTGTAATAGGGTCCAAAGAAAACTATACTTCTAGTGACTCCATTATTATAAAAGAACTTGTCTTTTACTACTCTGGTGTAGGAATTTTATATAAGATTAAATGAAATAAGCATACATGTATACATCCAGGTATAGCCCCGAATAAAGCAAAACACTTAAAAAAAAAAAAAAAATCTCGCCTAGGTTTGATTTAAAAAAAAAAAAAAAAGAACAGTAAAAAGGAAAAAAATACCTTTGCAAATATAGTCTTGACATAAATTGGCAGGTCTCCATGGGGACTTCCATAACCCCCTACAATACTAAACCCCAATCCTTCAGAGCCTTTCTCCAAAGTAATAATCTTAGGTGGAGGTGTTCTGAAAACACAATGCATGCTGTTTAATTCAAGAAGAGATATTGAGAAGGAATTTCATTTTAATGGAAGAACACAGATTTGAGAGAGACTTTCATACTGCGAAACTATTAAGGTCAGTTAATTAAATCAAACTCTCAAAGAACAATCTAGAAGCATTTAAAAATTTTCCCATATCATGCAGGGCTAATGACCAATGTTCTTGATGATTTTGGGGTTTCTCTTTTATAAAACCCAGTTGTTTTTTTTTTTAATTTAAAAATAAAGTCATGATGCTGAAATTGTTAAAGTACTCTTCTATATGCTTAGTTTTTAACTCTCAAGCTTACTATTTTCAAGCTGAATGGAGTTGTCTTTACATCCTTGAAGAATGTGCCTGGAGACAAAGAGGTAGGGTATTACCTTAGCTTAGTGTAGACCACCAATCTGCAGGTGGACTTCTGTCCAGAACAGGTGACAGCAGCCCGAGAGCTCAGTAAACTGCCGCTCTTTCCTTCCTGGATACCCTAGCACACCTGCTCTACCACTTCCATGTACAGTAGAAACTCATTCTTTAAGAGCCACCTTCAATGTGATGTTTCCCTGATGCCCTTGTGAGAGTCAGCCGCACCCTTTCCTGTGCTCCCTTTGCACTTGGTCCAGATTTCCATTATGGCACTTGTTATATCGTACTTTGATTACTTAACCATCTTTCTCCTCTATCAGACCTTGAACCCCTTAAGTCTTAGTCACTGGAGTATTCCCAGCACTATGCATTGTGCCTGTCACAAACTCATTCAGGATCATGACTGCGTAAATGAGAACTGAAATCCAGGAGAGAAGAGAGAAACCAAGGTAAAGCAAAATGGATAAAAACAATCTGTTTCGAATGTATTATTTAGATTTTCAGAGCTTCGTCCAGTGTGGAAGTCATCTCTCTCAGAAACAACATGTCTAAAAATTAAATAACCTATGTGGGCTCAAGTAATTAAATCTAAGCTTAACTAGCACCAGTTTTTTATTCCCAGGTGTGGTTGTCCAAAGAGTAAAAACCGAAAAGAACTCTGACATCTTATCTGTAGTAGGTTCATATTTGTATACTCGCAGCATCACTTGTTTTGTGGTGGCATGCATGTCCGAGAGGCAGAGCCATCTGACATAAACTCAGCCATTTACATATTTAGAAAAATTTGCAAAACTGGGATATAAGCAACCTCTGAATATGCTGTTCTGCCTAACTATAGTATTCTTCCTTCTCCCCCTTCTCAATTTTACCTGGCTTATTTTAGGCTTGATTTTTAGCTGGTTCACACTGATACCAGTTATTTGTTGATGTGCTTACTGGCTGCTTATAGCAGGCAGCCATAGTAATCGCTGAATGTGTATGCTATATAAATTGTTGATTGTTTTGAAGGCCACTCCTGCTTTGCTCAATTATTTTAAAACTCAGCTTCAGCATTAGTGCCACCAAGTACACTCCCTAATTGAGATAAATCCCTCTTCCATGGTTTCACAGGACCCTGTGCTTACTTATCTATCTCACTGAATGTAGCTCTCTTATATTATCAATGCTTTTAAAAGCATGGATTTATGGGTCTGTTTTTCCAGTTCTCTGGCAGTTCCCTGAGTGCCTTCAACCTATGTTTCTAAGTTTGAGTCCTCAGGACTCAGCCCTTGTACAGTGTCTAGCCTTGGGGAGGCACTCAGTAAATATCTGCTGAAATAATGATGAACTATCCCCTACGGCTGAATGGTAATGACGTCATGAATAAGGCTCTACTTTTCATCACTTTGTGGCCTTGTAAGTACCCTCCGTAATGACCCACTAGCTAGACATGAATTTGATGCATGTTTCCTCTTTCAAACACTGCTTCCATTTCCAAGGATATTGAAACGGGAACTCAGATGTCCAAAATCATTGTTTTAGAGCTAGCCCTTGGAGGCCACCAAATCATTACAGGCCTTTGTAAATGTGCCTATTCACAATTAGAGAGCTGTTTTTAGGGGGAGAGGAAGGAATGCAGCTCTGCTTCCCAACTGGCAACATCAGCTGGAGTTTGCATTCATTTATCTCACATTTTCAAGTAGTTTTAATTTTTCATATAGAAGACTAGTTAAAAAAAAAAAATCTCCAAATGTTAACAGTGGTTGGATTATAGGTGACTTAAATTCTTTTAAGCTAGTGGTTCTCAACCTGCCAGGAGCTGTGCAGCTGTGGAACTGTAAAAAAGATGGGCACATCAAAAAATGCTAACAGTATACTATTCTTCCTATAAGGGTCCTGATTTTTTTTTTTTTTTTAGGGAAAGGGCCATCGTAACTTGAAAATGTTATACGTTCATGTATTTGTTATATTTTCATAGCATGCATTTATTACTCTTATAATGAGAAAATAGTATAATGAACTTAGTTTAATATTGTTTTCTCAAGAAAACTGAACTCAAAGGTGTCATTTAAGGTGATGAACTACCAGGAAAAAGTTGGAAATGGCTGTGATCATCAGATCGACCAATAAACCATTCAGATCAGTCAACAAACACTCATCTAGCACCTAGTGCAACTAGGCACTGGCGGCACTGAGAAGTATAACTTTAGGCCCATTTCACAAAGCATGGATCCTCTGCCTATTGGTAGCAAAATTACGCAGGAGAATCCACTGTAGACCACCTACTCAGAATCTCTGAGAATGGGGCCAGGGGAATTAGCAATTTTAAATATGCTCTTTAGATTATTCTTATGCACATTCGAGTTAGAGAAACACTGTTTTAATGAGCAATTTTCACTGCAATGACTGATTTTAATAAAGGATGCCAGCAAGTATAACAATAAGATTTCACTGAGAAAACTAAGGAAGCCTGGTTCTGTGCATAGCAAAGCAGGGTACACCTGGGCTGTAAATCTAAGGTTTCTTAGGGGAGGAGGCACAGGCACCATGTCAAAGTGACCAGATGCAGGATGTGCAGGCCCTGTAACAACAGTTTGCTGAGAATACATATGGTGAAACGGAGCTTTGTGAGAAATAAGAAAGCCCTGGTGCTCTCTTGGAGATTCTCTAGGAATCAGAAAAGGTAACGTGCACCTTCCCCCTCCTCTCCCATAGAGAGCACACTCTAGAACCTGGAAAAGGTCTCACTGAGCTTTGCCCATACACAGAATAGGCACTTTGCGTCTAGAACACTCACTCTGCGTCTTGTGGATGGTGTTCAGCAGTGGGTGAACCAAGGTGGTAGCCCGTAGACAGGTTCTCAAGCTGAGTTGCTATGGCGTTTATATTGGTATCTGCTACGACCTGGGGGAAAGGTTAGAACAAGACAATCCACTATAAGTCAAGGCAGAATTAGAGAGACCATACTATACCCGATGGTCAGTCCTCAGTCCCCATCTTATTCTGAAGCAGTTGACACCATGGATTATTCTCTCTTAAACTATTTTCTTTATTTGGCTTCCATGACACCACACGTTACTAGTTTCCCTTCTACCTTCTGGCCATTCCTTCGTATCCCTGAAATCCTCTATCAGAGGGCTCAGTCCTTGAGCTTCTTATCTTTTCCATCTAAATGTATCCTCTTAGTCATCTCATCTGATCTCATCAATACCATCTATATGATAGTATAATGATAATTCCTGAATCTGTATCTCCAGCACCACCTCTTCCTTAACTTTAGATCCATAATATCCAATCAGCAACAAGATGTCCAGTAGGTATCTCAAACCTGATAGGTCCCACACTGAGCCCCCACCACCTCCATTGCTGTCATAGCCTTCCTCATTTCAGGTAACTACAACTTAATTCTTGCAGTTCCAGCAAACGTCTTAATGTCACCCTTGACTACTTTTTCTCTCATAAACCATATTTGATCCTCGTAAAATTCTACTGGTCTTTCTACGGAATTATCTCTTGACTGGAGTTTTACAACAGCCTCCTCACTGGTCTCTCTGGTTCTGCCCCTCTTCCTTTCAGTGTATGGCAGCTAGAACGGTCCTGCTAAAATAGAGATTACTTCACTCCTCTGCTTAACACCGTCCAAAGGAAACCCAATTCCCTGGGATCACACACTGAAGTCCTTACTACAAGGTCAAATGTAGATCTGCCAGTTATGTCTCCGCCCTCTTCTCCTAGCATTCTCTGCGTTCACTCGGTTCCAGCCAGGCTGGCCTCCTTGCTGTTCCTCTGATGTGCCAGAGACATCTCCACCTCAGTGCTTTGCAACTGCTGTGCCTTCTGCCTGAAATGCTCTACATTCAGCATCTGTGTGGCTAGCTCCTTCACTTCCCTCAGGTCATTAGAGTCCTCTTCCTTGGTCACTCCAACTAAAATTTCCACACCAGCGCCTTGTCCCAACATTCCATGTCTTCTTTCTCTGCTTTCTGTTTCCTCCTTACCACCATTACTAACGCACTGGGTATATTTTACCTTATTAATTCTCTGTCACTTCATATTAGAATGTGTGGGCAGGAAGTTTATCTGTTTTATTCACTACTGTATCTCTGTTATGAAGGACAGTGTCCGGCATATAGCGGCTATTCAATTAATAGTTGGTGAATGAAAAAAAGAATGAAAAAATATCTCTGACTCCCTATGATTTGCCTTTTAGATGGTCCCAAGTATAGCAGAATAACATTTAAACATTGACTTTATATATTTCTATCCTGCAAAAATCATTCTAAAGCACTCAGAAGAAATATGGTATAGTTCTGACAGCCCATACTAGGACACAGAATGGAGTTCTGGTGTTCAGTTTCTGCCACTTAAATGATGCTGTACCTGAGTTTCGACTTCATTTGTTAAATAGGAATCATAAAAGTTGGCCTTGTCTGCTTAGCCTGGAGTTGTCTTCTACCTAGAGTTATCAGAGCTTCTTTCTCAAGAGCTTCTGGGCTACCTCTGCTTCTGATCAACTGTTCTTCTACGTTATAATACTCAGTGCACAAGTACAGAGTGAAAGGACTTAGCTTGACAGTAGTGCAAAGATCAATTTGATTGCAGTTTCAGAATAAACCAACAGAGGGCACGGCTGCCTAAACCTGTAAGCTTAGCTGCATCTGTTAATATTTAGAACAAGGAAAGCCACAGAGCAGCTCTGGCCCTGGCCCCGGCCCCACCCCCCCCGGATCAGAATACATTCTGGATGGAGCATCTTGAATTGGGGGAAAACACTGCTAAGCGTGAGTTATACAATCTTCTGGAAATACTGTCATATAGAAAACAACTGAACAAATTGGGGGAATATTTAGGATAAAACAGAGAGAGGAAATGACAGATTCCCCCTGACCACAAGAGCCTCTCCACTCACCACCAGCCCTTCTTACTCTCCCCTACAGCAAGTGTATCGAAGGAGTTGTCTTTGTGTGTGACCTTTGTAATCTTACCCACTCTCAACCTACACCACCTTCATAAACACATTCCATTCCAGCTTGCATCCCCATCACCTGGCCCAAACTTCCATGACCCTCATTCTCTGGCTTTCTTCCTCCTACTGCCCACTTTTCCAACTCTTTGCTATTCTACTCACCCCCTGTGGCTCAGTTCTGGGCCTACCTCCCACTTGCATGTTCAGGGTCTAGGTGACAGAATATACATTCCCATAGCTTTAAATGCCAACAACGTGCTGACAATTCCCAGCCTAGTCATTATATCCAGTTGCCAACTTAACATCTGCATTTTAATATCTCAAGGGCTTATTAAAATTAACACAACCAAATCCAAACTCTTGATTCAACAACCGAATCCTTTCAATTCATTTTCCCTCTAGCTTTCCTCCTCTTAGTAGATGGCCTCTCCAGCTGCTAATTAGAAATCCACCAGGTGGAATATTGAAAATACTTGATTGCTGGCTGGTGATTGTCCAGCTGGAAAGGAAGCTAGGCTGATAACCGTACAGGTGCTTACTCTCTGAATATCAACCTGAAAACTCCCTCTCTCACCTGCCGTATGTAATCTACCACCAAGTCCTCTGGAGCTGACCTCCAAAATATTTCTCAAATCTGTTTATTTTCCATCTCTGTGGTGACCACCCTAATTCAATTCATCATCATCATCAGCTGCCTTTTAACTGGAATTTCCACTCATCGTCTTCCAATCTCTCTTCCACACAATAGCTGGTTATCATTTTAAATATACAATAGTAAGGGCACTCCCCTGCTTAAAACTTTTCAGTGGTCTCTCTTTGTGCTTGGAATAAAATTCAGATTCCCTAATTATAACACAAAAGTCCTCTCATTCGCCTATCATCTAATCCCATCTATTTCCTTTCCCTTCGCCCCACATTCCAGCTCCCTCTGCCTGTAAGTGTCCCCCTTTCCCCCAAAGCAGTCGGCCTGGCATCAACTTAAAAGTCACTTCCCTTATGCAAGCCTTCTTTGGCTACTCAAGTTTAAATTAATTTCTCCCGTTTTCCTCTCCATAGCACCCTTGAAGTATTTCTCACACATTGTGACGATACATATTTGTGTGACTATCTTTCCCACCCAATCGCAGGAATCATGGGGATAAGGGCTGCTTCTCAATATTAATATGCCTGGCATATAACAATTGTTTAATGAGTATTGGTGGAGTGAATGAATAAATCTAAAACTTTTCTTAAAAAAAAAAAAATCGGGATCATGGCACTCAATTTTCTGCATTTCCACAGAACAGAGTGAGACTGATACAGATTACAAGAAGATTGGTTTTAGGTCTTTTTAAGGAGAAAAAAAAAATCTAATAATTAAGGCAGTTACAGAATGGAATGGCACATGAGCACCCACCAAAGCAAGCATTCAAATAGAGACTCAAAATCTACCAATTTGGGATGTGGGGAAGGAGATTTCTATACTTGGTAGGAATTTGGACATATATGTTCAGCCGACTATAAAACAGACCATCCATTATGGGAATGAGGAAGAAAGTCAGTAATATACATATATTTAGAGTACCTTCAAAAGTCAAGATTTGATGGTAACCTGTTCCTTTCTTTACTAGCTCGTTTAGTCAATATATAACAGCACTACGACTACTGAATATAAATGAAGCTCTTACTTTATGCTAAGCACTCTTTTTTGAGTCCCTACGGAGGTGGGTACCATTATTTTTCCCATATTACAGACAGAAGAACCTGGAGCAGAGAGGTTAAGTAACTTTCTAAGGTCAGTTAAGGAGTGAAGGCTGGATTCAAATCCATTCCACTTCACTCTCTAATCTTGTGCTCTTAATCCTATGCGATATGAAGCAAATTGCCCAGTGTGAGGGTAGAGACTTGGTACTTGGCAGTCTAGATATAAAGTGGGGAAGGAAAAGGGGTAAAAAGATAGTCCGATAGCAGTTGCAAATAGAGCAGAAGATCATCACGAAGTGTGCTTGGCAATGGGATGGAAAATGCCACACCACCAATACTACAAAGAGTGTATTTGGGATGTGGGAGATATATACTCATGGATGTTCTAGCAAGAAAGCTTTTTAATTTTTAGAAAGAGAATATACTTTTAAGAGTCCATGAAATCAGCCATATAAATTATAAAACCAAAGACATAGTTCTTTTTGATAAATTAAATTAAAAAAAAAATCTATCTAGAAAATATAAAAACACTTCCATAGCACCATATTGCAGAAAAACACTCATTCCTCCAAAACATAGGAGGAATGTTTTGCTTACTGTTGCTTACTCTCAAACCCTGAAATTAAAAGGTCCTCCCAACCACTGATAATATTAAATCCTAGAGACACGGCTAGGATCCTTGGAGCTATCCGGGCCCACGGCTATTTTGTAGGAAGGTAGAACCAAAGGGGCTGAATGGGAAATGTAAAGGATTTTCACTGACAGCTTTGTCTTTTACAGGATGTTAAAGAGAGCAGAAACCTGTCACCCCCAGATGACTTTACAGCCCCAAGGCATTTGCATGAACCATCTTGGTCTCAGGGTTGATTGGTCTTCCCACCGACTGACTTGTGAAAGTGGATAATCTGATCTCGGAAGGGTGTGTGTGTTCAGCTGGATACAAATTTAAGATGTGGTCTATGCGTCCTGGCTCAGCCCTGCGTCTGAAGTGCTCTTCCCCCAACACCAGGGACTGAACAATTTGGAAGTAAGCCTAGGAGAGGTCTATCTGTGTGCTTTGAAGAGGGAAAGCAAACAGGCTAATGAAACATTCATTTTTTTTTTTTTTTTTAAGGTAAATAAATCTTGATTCTTGGGTATAAACTTCTGTGGTAGGTTTCGAGGATAGAGTTGGGAGGAGAGGAAACCAAGAGAAAGCAAATGTGTTCCCTGCCCTCCAACAAACAGGCCTGCGATTTATGTCATTTAGCGTGGG